AATGACTATGTCAAGCATCTTTTCCTATGCTTATCTGCTATCCATATATCTTATTTAGTAAAGTATCTCTCAAATCTTTAATACAGTTTTTAAATAGGCTGCCTGATTGACTAAAAGAGTTCTTTATAGTCTAGATAATAAAAATCTTTGGTCAGATAAATGTTTTGCCTTTTTGTAACAGTGTTTATTAAAGAGCAAAAGTTTATAATTTTAATAAAGTCAAATTTATTATTTCTTTTATGCTTCATATTTAAGAAATATTTGTTAAATCTACGATCACTAAAAATTTCGCCTTTTTCTTATAAAAAGTTTATAGTTTTTACACAAACATTTATATCTACAGTCCACTTCAAGTTAATTTCTGTATATGGTACAAGGTAAGGGTCAAAGTTCATTATTTTTCATATGGCTACACAATTGTAATAGCACATTTGTTGAAAAGAGATCTTTTCCCCACCAAATTATTTTGGCACCATTGTAGAAAATCAAATAATCATGTATGTGTGGGTCTACTTCAGGCCTCTCTACTCTGTTCCATCAATCTATATGTCTATCTTGACATTACCACACAGTTTGATTATCAGAGCTTTATAGTAAGTCTTGAAATCAGGTGATAGACAGCCTCCAATTTTGTTCTTCTTTGTTTTGGCTATCCTAGGTCCTTTGCACAACTATATAAATCTTAACATCAGCTTGTTAACATCTATAAAGAAGCCTGCTACAATTTCCTTTGGGATTGTGATGAATCCATCTATCAATCTGAATAGAATTGGTATCTTAGCAATACTGAGTCTTTTAATTCATGAGCATGATATTTTTCACCATTTATTGAGACCTTATGTAATTTTTCTCAGTTTATAAACTATAAAACGTTTATAGTTTTAGTGTACATGTCTTACACATCTTTGGTCACATTTTTCCCTCAGTATATCATAATTTTGATCCTATGAAAAAGATACTTTAATAAATTTTGAAATTTCCAATTTCTCATTGTTAATATATATAAGTACAACTGATTTTTTATATCAATCTTCTGGCCTTCAACCTAATCTCACTTATTAGTTCTAGCAGCTTTTTGTAGATTCCTTAGGATTTTATATATAGAAAATCATATAGTCTGAGATTAAATACAATTTTACTTCTTCCTTTCCAATCCAAATGCTTTTCTCCCCTATTGCTTTACTGTACTGGCTAGAATCTCCAGTACAGTGTTGAATAAAAGGGATGAGAAGGGACATTCTTACCTCATTCCCAATATTGGAGGAAAAGCATTTAGCCTTTCTTCTTACTAAGAATGGTGTTAGTTATAAGTATCTCCTAGATGTTCTTTGCCAAATTGAGGAAGTACTCTTTTATTTCTAGTTTGCTGTGATTTTTTATTATGAATTATTGTCGACTTCCGTCAATTATATTTTCTGCATCTATTGAAATGATGGCATTCAAATGAAATATGGTAAGTTTGGTCTGTTAACTAGGTGAATTACATGAAATTGCTTTTCAAATATTAAACTTTGCACTCCTGAGATAAACCCCATTTGCTCATGCTATATTACCCTTTTACTATAATATGTTGTTGGATTATATTGGCTAATATTTTGTCGAGGACTTTTTCAACCATGTTTGTGAGGAGTACTGGTCTATAGCTTTCTTCTCTTACAATGTCTTTTCCTGGTTTTGATATTAAGGCAATGCTGCCTTCTTAGAAGTTGGGAAAGGTTTCCTCCTCTTGCATCTTCTGGAAGTGTTTGTGTAGAATCGGGATTATTTCTTCCATAACTTAGTAGAATTTATGAGTAATGAACCATCTACGCCTCCATATATTCTCAACATCTCTATTAACATGTCTGAAAAGAAATTAAAACTTAACATGGCCAAGCAGAACTAATAATTTTTGTACCCAAACATGCTCATCCCTACTATTCCTCATTTCAAATTAATGACATCATGTTCACCCATTTTGCTTAAACCAGAACCTTAATCCTTCATTCCCTGCTTTCATTAACCCTACTCCTCAAATCTATCTTCAAGTCCCATTAGCTCTACTTTCAAAATGTATCTCTACCTCTCTGCACCTTCACTATCACAGCCCGGCATATACCTCCTAACTGGCCACGCCAATGCACAATTGCCCCCACTACATTCTATTCTCCAAATAGCAGCCAGAGTGATTTTTGGCTAAATAAGACCATGTCACTCCCTGGCTTAAAACTCCCATATGGCCCTTAATCTCTTCTGCCTTTAGATATTAACCGTAAAATAGAAAAACAGCAAGCTGTGTCTATGTAGTCTGAATATACTGACTGTGGGAGCACTATAAGAATTTCAGTAAATTCTTATCTGCTTAACTAGCTCCAGTGACCTAGGAATTACAAAATCACAAACTTAGGCCTCTTGGGAAAAAACACAACTTGGCTGTGTTGAGTCTTAAAGGAGGTATAGGTTTTTGTCTAGAAGCAAAGGCACCAAGGCAGAAGTAAGAATCCCCAAGTCCTAAGCTGTCCTTCTAGAACATGACAACAACAAACACTTTCACCTCCAACCTACCCTCATCTTCCTAGGCTTTCTATCCAAAGCAAGAGTGGTTCATACAATACCAGGAAAGGCTGTGCCTGCTGGTCTTAAATACAAAGGAGGTGCAAAACAGGGAAAATAATGCAACTAACTTATTTATTCATATGTTTGGGTTTTTTTAGCCATCCCCTGCTGCAGCCAAGGTAGGAAGGATGCTAGGCAACTTGGCCTTGGTCTTTTTTAATCAACCTCGTCCACCTCTGTAGAGCTCAACAGGTGCTCTACTATATGCTCTCCATTCCTATTCTTCAATCAGTCAACATCTTACACGTTCCGGTCAGCGCCAGACTCACCCAATTTGCTAACTACTCTTCTATTTCTTTCTATTCTGCCCATTCTCACTCCTTGAGTTAAAGGAAACCATCACCTTTTTGTGTTCCTTCTTTGGATCATCTTCACTCTAATTCTGCCTCTTTACTCCCTCAAATGACCTCCAGGAATACTTCCTTTAGTTTGATCAGGCCCTAATGCACTCCTCTTGCCTTCTTAGGTATGGTCAACACTGTGCTAGATGACGCTTTCCAGAAAAGAGAAAGTGGCCTAAATCAATCTATGTTCCTAGGACTTGGAACCAACTCTTAGCTGTGCTTTTGGAGAATCAAGGGAGGAGACTACAGCCACAATTGGCAGCAACTGGGGGTGGGCTGGGGGTATCAGGACTAGGATAACTAACCGTCATAAAATACTCTTCACTTAACTTCACAGCATTAACTATAATTATCCTTAAATTTGTGTATTATTAGTATCTGTCTCTTCCTGCACTCCCCGTCAGACTAAAAGCTCCATAAGGGTTAACAACTATGTCTATCATGGGGCACCTGGGTGGCTCAGTCAGTTAAGCGAATGACTTCGGCACACATCATGATCTCATGGCTCGTGAGTTCCAGCCCTGTGTCTGGCTCTGTGCTAAGAGCTTGGAGCCTGGAACCTGTTTCAGATTCTGTATCTCCCTCTCTCTCTCTACCCCTCCCCCACTCATGCTCTGTGTCTCTCTCAAAACTGAATAAAAACGTTGAAAAAAGATTAAAAAAAAGAAAGAACTATGTCTATCGTGATCATTATTAACATCCCTACACCCTACAAATCCCTGGCATATAGGTCTAACTCAGTTACTCCAGCCCTGTCGAATAAAACACAAATTGAATTTATATCTCAACAAAGCTCTGAGATAAGGTAGTACTTCCCCCATTTCTGGAAAAGCTAATAATAAAAACCAACATTTCTTGAGCTGCTACCATGGGTTAGGCACCATTCTAAGATCCTTACATGTATATTCTCATTTAATCCTCATCACAAACGTATGAAGTAGGTACTATGATTATTCCCATTTTACAGATGAAGCATTTGAGGCACAGAGAGGTTATATAATTCACCCAAAGTTATACAGATGAGCTGCAGAAAGGGATTCAAACCCAAGCCGAAAAAGCCTACTCTATTATTTCCTATAGTACCGCTCAATGAAGACAACACCATATTCCTCAATACCGATAAACTGAGCCAAATAAAAGATGCTATGAATAAATGCTACAAAGAAAAATCCAGACTTAGACACACAAGTTGCCAGTTCTACATGACAATTCAAAGAAACTGCTACTATAAATGATTCCAGTGCCTGACTCTTATTTAAAATAATGGTCAAGGGGCACCTGGGTGGCTCAGTCAGTTAAGCATATGACTTCAGCTCAGGTCATGATCTCACGGTTCACAGGTTTGAGCCCCACGTCAGGCTCTTTGCTGACAGCTCAGTGCCTAGAACCTGCTTTGGATTCTGTGTCTCCCTCTCTCTCTGCCCCTCCCTGACTCACACTGTCTCTGTCTCTCAAAAATAAACATTAAAAAAAATTTTTAATAAAAAAAAAATATTAGTCAAAAACCACATCTTTCTTTTCAATTGACAGACATATATGGAGAATGAAACCCAGAATATTCTCATGTTGAAAACATTTCCTCTGCCACCAGATCTCTGTTTTATAAAAAGAGTATTTTTGTCTGCCAAAGGAAGCCCAATCACCAAACTGGACACTACAGAACTAGGTATGTGTTGCCTGAGTTTTCCCATAGAGGCAGCAAGAATGTATGAAGACTGCCACCCTCCCCATGACTTTGTCTTTCCAGTTCTCCCAGTATTTAATGTGAGAAAATAATACATATCAAGTTTGAATGTGCCCTGCAAGCTTTTATTCTGTCCTAAAAATTACCAGAAACCAATGCAAGGCATGTGAAGGGAAGACAGGTCACAAGGGAGGGAGCAAGGAGAACAACTCAAATCATTAGCTGTCTGCCCATCAGATGCTTCTAAGTTCCCAGCATTCCATGGCCTGCTTCTTAGAAGAGTCCATGACTGCTTCAGTTTATGATGTCTCCCCGATGCACCATGGAATGAAAAGGCCCCGAGGACTCTATTATTAGAAAAGGAAATTTTAACTTACCTTCCACTGCTCTTCTGGAAGCAGCTTCACGACCACCAGATCCCCATTCAAGGCTCTATTACGAGCAACAACACCATCAATAAAAATGTCTCGATCACCATCCTAGGTTGGAGAGAGAAAACAGTCACCTTACCAAGGCCTGGAACCAAAACTTACTTCCTTGGTTTAAAAGTTGTGAACTCTACAAACTGTCCACTGACCTAACAAGAATACTAGTACACAGCCACAAACAGACCTAGTGGGAAATCAGTCTTTGGAACTAGCAGAAATGGGGATGAATATATAAGAGCAGGTTAACAGAATGTTAAAAAACATTTTTTTAAATATAAGGGAAGATCTCCTATAGGCAGACCAAAAACAAACAAAAATATATAATGCAAAAAACCGAGGCTGCATGCTTTCCTAATTGGAATGAGAAAGGAGTAAGTGATCCTTTCTTGTTTGACATAAAGCATGATGATACATTTTCTACACTAACCGAATTTTTTTTAAGTATCAAAGAAGGGTAAAAAGTAGCCAATTTGCAAGCAAACAGAAGAACAATAAAATATAATCCCCCAAGAAAACCAACTGGGGGCAGGAGCAGCAACCAGCTCTAGGAATTGGGTTCTCCAAGGAAGGAACTAGCAAAATCATACTCCTCCCCTGC